TCGAATACAGCTATGTCTCTCACGCTTGCTCTGCTGCCAGTCAAAGCCTCAATTGGCGACGTTCTTCCAGCGTTCGATCTGGTTGGACTTATTTTCAGGATGTAGCTTGCGTATTTCACGGCGTCGCCCCAGAGTGGTAGTGGTAAGTTGCTGGCAAACAGCATACTTTTCGCCATACCTATGATTGTTCTGTGCATTCGTTCGGCCTTGCCGTTCAACGCTTGATTGTAAGGTTCCGACATTTGCCTCTCTACTCCAGACTTGTTGCAGAGCCAATCTACACTACAACTGCTTCGCCGCTTGATCTTTAGTTCTAGCCAGGAATACTCGACAATAATTTGTCTTATGGTCGACGAAGTTGATCAAGTATCTATTGCCTAATCTGTCCCTTGGTGTGATAGGGCCCTTGATATCACTTACTATTACACCTCCAGTGCGATCGATAGGTGCATTGAATCCTGTATCATTCTTAGGATGCTTGTTTCTTGTCTGTTTGCCTTCGTGGCAAGCTACACCGACTTTCCGTGTATAATTTGTTATTTCTATGCCTGAATCTGGGTTCCTGGCGATCCTTTCGATCGTGCCGTGGGCCAGATGTCCCAAACGCTGGTGCAAGTTAATCAGGGTGTCCCTCACAGGGCTATACTGTCTTCCTTTGCATTCGATGTGAGTGCTGAGAGCGCTGGCTCGGTCGACTCTGCCTCATCGCATGTATTCTCTTTGAATCTACACTCCACTGTGAGCACTCTGTGCCTTTTAATTACGTCTGTTACATCTCGTCCACTGCCATTGTTGTGTAAAGTTCTATGTCCATCTTTGTACTGTAATACACATCCTTTCTTTTCCGATAGACCATAAGAGAGCAGGTTCTTTGACAATCCCTTGATGTAGCGTACATTCGTGAGTAACACCTCTCGTCAATGTTACTCACTGTGCAGATGAGCAACATGGATCCTGCTAGGGTGGCTTTGAGCTTGGTACCGTCTGGAATGGTATAGCTAATGTCTATTTCTCTCGTATTGAATAACCACGATGAGTTGCTGATTAAGTGTTGACTGGTTCCTGAATTTAGTATCCACTCAATCACCTCTTCATCTCGATTTCCGTCGCGACCTTAAGTGCAAACTTGACTTGTTTGTCGCCTTTCGATGTATAACCTTGTTTAGTAGAACGACAATTCTTTGCATGATGACCCTTTCCCACAGGCGTAACACTTGAAAGTTGTAGTTTGGCTGTAATTCGCTGTGTTCTACCCAAGATCCTTACCCACGTGCGTGTTCCATTCACTGTGAGCAAAATGGGAGAGTTCCTCTGCTTGCCGCAGAGAATCCTTCCCTGTAGGGTCAAACTTCGCCATAAGCACCTACTTTAACTCACCCAGGGCATGCGAACTTCACAATGTTCTCTAGTTCTAGGTCGTCTCTTCCACCTGCCACAGCTAACACTGCTGTGAGGTTCTGTCCATGATCTGGATTTCTCCTTTTTAGATAGTAAAATCTGTGTTGCTTGGGCTGTTGATAATTTACATGCAAAAGCGTTGGTGAGCTGGTCAATGGCATGAGGAATTTTCATCCCACCATTGGATTCTTCTCTGAATGTAATCGGCTGCAGTGCCCTTTAGTTTGCTTCCTAACACATCAACCTTGATTTTCTCTGGCCATTCAGAGCCAGAAAGAGTGACAGCCATGTTGGCCTCTCTCACGAATTGCAAAGCCCAGAGCCCAAAGCCGGATCCTAAACCTTTATAGTCTCTTTTCCCTCAAAAGGGGGTATCGAGAGCATCCTTTGCTTCAATGAAGAAATCCTGGGGCCAAATTGTTGCTGTTGATGCTGTGGTGGACTTGCATGCATTCTCTGTGCCTCTTGCTGCTCTCTATACGCTTGGAACTGCTGTTCTCCCTGTCTCGCGTCATCGCGAGCGATTTCATCGTAAGACATACGGCGATCTCGTGTTCCCAGAGCTGAACCACGTGATACTGGCATGTGAGGTTGGGATTGACTCCTGATGCAATCAAGCATGACACTCTCAAATGCTTCTGCCGAAGCACTACCAAGTACAGAAGGCTGCTGATGACGCTGTCCGTTATCTGACCTAATTGATGCTAATTCTATCCACACATCTTTCACTTCTTACTTTATCTGTAGCATCATCTCCCGCATTTCACGCAATACTGCTGCTGGAGTGAGCTCTTCTATCTTGTCTGGTACATTGTGATCATTCTGTTGTGATGAACTCATGACCTGTTGAACTAAATTGGTGGCCCGATACGCTACTTCTGCACAAAGTGCTGTAAATGACAGATAGGAAGGAAGGACCTGGTGGTTTGAAGGTGAGTTTCCAAGTGAATATATTCTGCTTGTAGCTATGGAGTTACGCAAATAGTTTTATAACTCCTCCTGGTTTACTAAGGTGGAGACTAAACTTGTTTATAACAACGTCATGTTCTGCGTCGCAAGTCATACGCTATTTGACTTTGCTACTACTTCGACCAAAAAAGGTAGTCACCAGAGTCATCTTTATTCTGTGCAACATTTGCACATTGCGGGCGTTGCTGCTTGTGATCCAAGTAGAACACTTGGCAATCCAACACCTTGCTCCCCGCAGTAGTGACGAGCAGTATTTGTCCTCATCGGTTCATTGCGCCGCCCAATATTTGTTGAGACAAAAGCTTGGACTTCGCCGTGCGCGGCTCCGTCGACACCGCCAACTTGTTCCTTGTGCTTTAAATCCTATGAAGAAGACGTGGTTTCACTACCCCCACGACAGCGTGTCGGCTATCGTCCCAATGCCGTCATTAGGAGTGCGTACAAATCTCAGCGCGTATTTTAGCTCGAATTTGAGAGTACACTTCTCTTCCTGATGCTTCCTCTGTGCAAAGTGCATGACAACCTGATGCAGTCCACGTATACGACGGACCTCTTCTGTACAGATCCCCATTATCTTCATAACACGAATATTTCGGTACTTATGAATATTCCCAATCACACAAAAGTGCAGCACAATTTTTGTACCTGATAAAATTGAATCAAAAGTGTAAGAAGTACACACCATAGTACAGTGCTTTCCCCGTTACAGATGCCTTCTGACGATGCAAACAGCAGATTAATTGCACGCCTTACTTCTATTCAGATAGACGTCCATCTTAGGCTAAAAAAGTCATTTCCCGCATCTATTCGGGATATTGACTATGAATTCAGAGCGATCACTTGCTGGCGTAAAGTATGCCGAAGATACGCACAGTTGCGCGGACTCTAGCTAAGCTCTTTTTGTTCAAAATGTTTGTTTACTGCTAACTTAATTGACGGAGCGAACTAGGCTGCGAGCTGTGAATTAAGAAGTTTGAAGCCGTACGCATAAAGATTCTTCGGGTCAATGCTTTTTGTGCGAAGTGAAGAGAAATCTTATTGCAGACCGCGTCAGGTACATGTGTAAAACAGTTTTTTTGTCATCGAAAAAGAAGCCTAAATAATTAAATGGGTTTAGAAATACGATCATTCACTTGCTGCTACTATAGATTTGAAGTTCTCTGGTGTGCCGGAAGAGAAATTATTCGTAAACCTACTTGATTCAAATATCTAATATCATGTTTGTTTGCACTCAGCGCGGTATAGTGGCATGTCATCAACACGCATGTTTAACACAAAGACTGTGAATCCGATAGCAGATTCAGCTTAATATCAAAATGAGCGCTGGAGACTAACGTTTTGGTGATTTACGGCAAAAATGTATTGCCAACACTTGCTCTTTTTAGGAGCCTCAGAGTGGCCAGTTTCGTAAGAATGCGTTCTGATGTACCCGCCTCGACAGTGACAATGCTAAACATCCAAAGATTTCTATTGAATTGTCCAGGGCGCGTTTGTTACTAAATCAGGCTTCAAGCGAGGTCCGGTCTCTCGGAGCTTGAGAGCAATGTTTTGTAAGGCAATTTTGGAATTTAGTTTAATTATGAGCAGATCAGATAGCTCTGACCGACGTCGTTCAGGTCCAGGTGTTTTAACTGTTTACAGGACGACCAGCAGTTTGAGTAAAAGCTGGACCATGTGCGGTATAATTACTTGACTGAACCAACGACGGAACATCGATGTCGAAGTGAATGTCGTTAAAAGGAAGTAAATAGCTAAGCTGCTTCTGGACATACGAAGAGAGTCTTGGTCTTCAGACTATGCTTCTGGTAGCGATAGCACATTTTAAGTAAGCAAGGTTACCTCGTATCAATAGTGGAACCTCTTTGGTAATTCCCTGACGCAAGATGTAGCAAAGATATGCTGATTTAGTCGCGAATATGCTTTGCACCACTTCGCAATTTGATCGTTGACAAAACATACAACTATCCGCCGTATCACTTCTGGTCATAGGGCGTATAAGACTACACAAAATTTGTAACAGCATAATCATTGTTTGCAAGATAACGCAAAACTACAAAGTGGTCGCAATGAGATTGTGAGCAAGACCAGAAGCACATCTCACGACGCCCTGATTTTACGACAAAAAAACAAGCTGCTTTCTTTACAAGTTTAGATCCATAGATTTTCTTTGTACAGTTTAAAATAATTTAAATTATTTGAAATAACCACATATTCATGTCGGGATTGCAAATCGGCAGATAAAATTTCTTCACAGTCAATTGCAACTTGCTGCTGTGCGTCGTGAGAAAAGCGTGACGCTTATAGTCTCGTACAAGGCATAAAGCGAAAATAAAGCTTGTTCATTCTAGTTCAGCTAAACTTGCATGCGAGTATATTACTGATTACAAATTTTACAAAAAGTCGGAAATTATTCCGTCTGTTCTAAATTTTACTTGTGACAGATTTTTTACGCACGCAAGTCTTCCTGTTTTTTTGGCCCGACCCGCGTGTTGGGTTGTCTGTTCCCTCTCCTTCATCAGTTGTTTGGGTAGAAGAAAGCCAGCAGAACAGCAGCACGCTGCACTTTTTTCTTTCGAGTTATTCGACTTGAGCATCTCACGACAGGACAGGTATTTGACGACGAGCCCGCCATCATGGAGGAACGAGACGGTGGAAGTGGCATGACTTATATCGGAGGACTGGGCAATGTGGCTAAAGTGTTGTTATTGCTACTTAACATGACATTTATGGTGGCTGGGTGCTTGTTGGTGTATTTTAGCCACCGCGTCGAGACCTCGGGATGGCTAGAAGTTTTTCAGGGAGACTATGCATGGATAGGCTCGTCCACACTCATCTTTATGCTCATTTTGGGTGCTGTGGTCATTGCGCTTGCGGCACTTGGCTGTTTTGGCGCGCTACTTCAGCAAAAGCTGCTATTGACTATCTATGCTATTGTTTTGCTTCTCACGGCTATTCTCTTCGTTGTGGTGGCCGTGGGTGCTTATATGGCCAATTCAAAGGCCGACGACTGGGGATCGAAGAATTTTCCTGCCACTGATAACGAGGCATCAATTGGAACAAATTTCAATGAGCTCTATTGCTACGCACAGATACCTTACTACTGTGAGGATGCATCTGTTAACACGGTGCTTACAATGTTTAATATTTCGCTGTCCGGGTACTTCACCGATTCAACGACCAACTTTACCAGCGTGTGTGATACAGTGACTCTTGATGCTATAAATGCAACCTGTGCCGTGTGCGACTTGATTTCTGAGTATAGCAAGTATACGGTGGTGCTCGACTGGATTGAATCTTCTTGTCCTCGTTCAAGCACTAATCAGATTTGGTGTGGCGGCTTTCTGCTTAATGCTACGGGTGCAAACGACATGTCTAGTAGTGCCCCATTCATGGAATGTCGTAACGTATTTTATGACCTCGTGGAGAGGTGGACTAATGTCGTCATGGTTGCTAGCTTCGTTTGTATTATTGCAGCTGTTATGGTACTTGCCATGACGGTCTTGCTATGGAGGAACGTTCGTGGTGCAAAGCACAAGACGATGGGACCCTCACCGGCACCTTTGTATCAGTATGTTGACCATACTCCTGGACTCTCTCAGCGTAGTGAAGCAATGACCAGCCAGAATTTTAGTATGCGCTCTAATGTACCCTACAATCCAAACGCAGCTCGTCGAGGGTACAATTCACCTTATTAGGAGCTATGTGTGTCTATGTCTCACGTAAGTATATTTCTTTATAAAAAAGGTCTTATCATAATGTCATCAAGAAGTTCATTGAACAGGTCCAGCTACTTCTTAAAAATCAACAACTTGTTGTCTGTGCGCTGCTCATCAAGCTTCATACACTTTTGGTAAAAGAATGAGGCGCTCTGTTTCCGGTACTGTTCATCCAAATTCATAAGCGGATCACGCACAAAAAACTGGCGGGCTCGACGATGTCGTATCTTCTTGCTATCGTTCTTGTTGATCGCACTAGCGAGTTTTTTGTGCAATGGATTATTTGGTGGCACAGGAATTTTTGGATTAAAAGCAAAGGTCGAACCAGCGTACGGATCGTAGGCGTCCATAAGCGCTCTAGCGTGTTCATTTGGCAAAGTTGGTGTCAGTTTAGCAGTGCCAAGTGCGTAAGAAGACACTTTAGGGTGGAAATGATGTGTTAGTAGCGCTAACTCCCAGCATGCACTTGAGAATGGGTTGGCAAAATCCGGGTCGTCAATGTCTGCACGGTATTCGCCAGAAGCTACACGATCGACGTCTGATTCAAGAAGCTGCTGCAACTTTGAGTAGCGACCAAAAAGCGCGCGCAACAGAGATAGGATTGCTAGCGCCTGATGCGGAGCGAGATGCTGTGCGATGAGCAGCAAGCGCTTCACAAAAGATGCTACACGTTCAACAACGAGTTCCTTTCGGCGCAAGAATACAGCCTCAACACACTGCAACAATACTGGAAAACAAGATGAGTCCATGCTTGCTTCGCCAACTGCAAATCGATGCAACAGACGATACAAAATGTCAACAAACTCCTTCTCATCAATCATAAGTTCCTGTCCACCAGGTCCCTGCAAAGTGCGCAGTCCCGTGAGTACAGCTTGCAATGCTGCAGGAAGTGGCAGCGAAGTCTCTTCGCGCAGCACAATCTTAAGTACCTTTAACAGATCAATCATGATGTCGAGATTGATGAGGAAAGAAAACTTCGCCAGACCTTCCAGTACAGCCGAAAGTGCGTGTGAGTATGTCGCCTGCTTGAGAATGCGAAAGTAGATGAGAACCATTTCATGCAGGATGTCAGCCTGAGTTTTTTCACGCTCCGCTCGATCCACAACAGCCTCTGCCTCTTTGAGACCGACGGCAATGCTGTCACCTGCAGCTTGTTGACGGCGGCGCTTTTTGCGGTCCGACTTTGCTTTCTTGCGAGCTACTTCACCCTGCTCCATTGTAATTTCAAGTGGCATCACCAGCAGAGTACGAATGATGTAAGGCTGGATGCGGTGTTGCTTTTGCTTGACATATCTGGAAATTTGCTGTACAATTTCATATGAAAATGAACATGATTTGTCGTTTTTAAAAACGCTTTCGAAAGCGAGACAAGCTTGCTCACGAATGCTTGGAAATGTCGAGTCTGCCATTGGTACCAGAGCGATCACGAGATTCAAATGAAAGTTAAAAGCATATTTTTTTTCTAATAGCTGTGCCAAACACCGAGCACCAGTTTCAGCAAGCACCACATCACAACGTTCGCGCGCAGTCATAATAGCCATTTGCTCGAAACGCTTGCCTTTCAAACCTGTCGTCACTAATTCGGCACAGTATCTAAGAAACTTCTGATAATTGCTCAGCAGTGTTGCCTCGTAGTCCTGCATTTGCTGCACTTTCTTTTTCATCGGACGTCCATGGTTCTGTTTACCTTTCTCCTCTGCGCTCTGCTCTCTATTTTGAAGATGGATACGATAGTCAGGTAAAATGTCCAGAAAGACTGAAAGTTGTGACATCATACTAAGACGCCGCACAGTGGCATCTGGGTCTTGGCATAATTCTTGCAGCTGCTGAATCTTACTTAGCTGTTGTGGATGTTCTTTACTTTTCTTAAATGCTTCTTCCGGACTCTCCAGAATGCTCTCACATAGCTGTGCAATTTCCACCTTCTTGGTAACGAGTCGAAGTTTACGCTGACGCTTCAAATCCACCGGCGACAACTCGGGTCTGGGTATCTCTGCGGGTGCATCCACAATTTCTTCAAATTCCATATCTGAAACATTCGAGTCGACATCTCCGATTTCCTCTTTTTGAACTTCTTCTTCATGTGGCTCTAAAACATTTTGTTTATCCTCTTTCTCCGCAAGCAATTTATTAATTCGCACACTACCATCCATAAATTTGACTGGAAGTTTATCCCGAAATATCTCTTGCTTATCTGTAGCCCATGCGGCCTTGCGTGGATGCGCTTCTAGCTTCTCCAGCGGCATATCCTCCTTCTCATCCTCATTCTTCTTCTTTACAACCTTCGACTCTGGCTTCCAGTCACTTTTTGGGTGCAATGCCTTGCTAAATGCTTTTGAATCCATATTTGCTAGAAAAGACGTGAAGTTCGAGTTGTTTTCGTAAAAAGCCACATCGTCTTCGTCAATTTCCACGTCTTCGTCTTGATTGCGCTCGGCTTGAGCAGTCGAGTGCTGTTTCGTTTTATCGGCTTCACTTTTCTTGTGGTTACATCCTTTAGTTTCTGGTTTTCCCCGTTTGCTTTTGTTCCCATTGCTTCCCTTAGGAGCAGCCTTGCGTTTTCGACCTTTGGCAACGACAGCCATCACAGTCTGTCGACCAACCGTCCGTATAACGAAAACAATGCCTGTTTTACTAAAATTAAGTACCAAATATTATCAAAAATATAATGTCATTTATAAGTACGTTGTCTATAAAAATCTGAACTACCAGAACGGACACCAACCATAATACAACTGACATAGGTTTTCGTGCGAAGTGGCTTGGTGAATCAAGCGATCGACTTGAGCATCTACGGTAAGCACTCGACTGCCATCGTCAAAATCCCGACCAACCAGCTTTTTCTTTACACGCTCAATGACGCTTAAAGCCTTTTCGTTCAGTTGCGGATGCTCAGATGCCACGACCGAAGAACCAAAGTTATCACGCGGCACCTCAGACATGGAATTACGCGCCATGGACGGATCCAGCATATCCATATTGTAGCCCAGCATTGCTGCCTCAGACGATGAGTGTCGCCGTCTACGTGAGGTCACTGGAGTTGACGACGTGGAGCTTTTCATGCTGCCTTCCATTAGCTTGTCTTCTTCAGGGTCGCATACATTAGCAGCGTCATTATCACCTTCACCATCAATTTCGCTTCCATCCCCGTTCACAGCACGCACAAAATTTTCACCGACATTTGCGTCGGAGCCATCGTCACGTTCTGCACGTCCAGATTCTGCAACATCATCAGGTTGCGCATGTGACGGCACAGTATCTTTTTTTAACAAACGCCAATTGATAAGAGGATCATACACAAACGCCTCAAGTACAGCCATGAGCGAGTCACGGTTTTCTCGAAGCACACGCATGGAAGCTTCGCATGTATATCGGAAGTTGCCTTCAATTCCACTCACCTCCATTGCCTGCGTAAGCATGCGCGTAAGTCTAAACGGAATCTTCTCGGGATACTTGTCTCGCTCCATTGCTACTTCAAAGCAATCTCCAAAATCGATATGAACTAGTTTACCAGAAACACGGTCCAGCATTAGGTTACTCGGGTGACGATCGCCTAGACCGAGAATATAACCAGCCATCGACATAACAGCGAGAGACCGTGTAAAATTTCGGCGGCGGTCGAGCCAAATCTCAGAATCTTGACTTTTCAGCCACAAGACACGATATAGATCTTGGCCAGTCGTTTCGCCAAGTGCATACTTGAAGGCTTCAACTTTTTGCATTAGCGGTAGCTTATCGAAGTCCGGCGCCATTTGTACCATCAGACGATGCTCGACGTTTAGCTGGATTTTTCGTGCCTCACGGTAGTCACGAATAAGCTGGTGCAAAGTATCACAGTTGGGCACCCAACCAATTAGACCACTAGTGTGTGATAGCGGAAGCACAGAATAACGCTGGATTGCCAGATTTCGCTTGCTCGTATCACTATCGTTTGCCAGTAGCGTATTGATCACTCCAAAAAGCTGCATCACGCGCTCATCTTGACGCAAATCTTCGTGACCCTTTAGTAAGAAAGGATACGCTTTTCCATCACTTCCGTTAATTGACACCTTTCTCGGTCGCTGCTTCGATGTTAGCACCGTCACCTTTGTGTCAAAAGACTGAATACGTACAATTGGAGCCCCAGCCTTGTACGTTCCAGGCACGGCGAGCGTCAAATTGTACACAGATAATAACTTTGGTCCAACATTAGCAAGTTCCAAAGTAGACAAATTTGCAAGTTGCTTGCGAATTTTTGAGAACACGCTGTAATATATGTCCCAGGCTTGATTCAAATCGTCAAGACACTTTGTACGTTCGTACACATTTGTCCATTCCTTTGCATATGCAAGATCTCGAGCAAAGGCTTGATAAAAAGCCATTTCACGAAGTGTAGGCGTTTCCTCGGTATTGATACGGTTCATTTGTTCGTGAAGCGGGGCTAGCTCTGCTATCATGGCAGTAACGTCACGATTATTAAAGAAGTGTTTTGACGCTTCCTCTAAAGCACCATGCCAGAGTTCATTCCATAAAATGGCGACACGAATGAGTTCACGTGACACCATGTCAGCCTCATAAACAAGCTGAGAGCTGTGCCGTCGTACAGCAGCAAGAATACCTTCGGCGGCTTGCTTCCGCGTCGGGTTCAGCGCCTTTGAAGCCACAGTAATAGGATAAATCAAAGCTTGGGGGTGAGCCTGTCCAATGCGAGAGAGAAGATCATGTAGCAGCTCGCTCGTTTTTGGATTAGGCGTATCAATACGCGCAATAAGCTGCGGGATAACATCTAGCCAAGTGTCAATAGACGCCTCTTGGAACCCTACAACCATTGCATTGTGCACATCGCTTCGATTGCCTTGCGTAAACCAAAGCGTCAGCAGTCGCAGAACGTCCTTCGTCACGTCATAACTTGTATGGCCGAAGGAGATTGATCTAAAAAAGCCTTGAATGGCTCGAACCGCATAACGTTTCGAATCGCCTTGATCAGATTCCTTCACTGTAGCCTCAAGCGCCCGAAAATTCATCAAAGCCCACTCATGCCATGCGCGATTGTTCGTTGGATCCAGCGTTGTTGCTTTCTCAAGACACTCGAGGACGTAATCATAAGCTTGCTGATGTGGCTCTGAATTCGACATTTGCCACTCGCCCAACTGAATGTATACTTGAACTCTTAACTTCCGCAATTCCTCATTTGATGAATCTTCGTGTTGTTCCAACGCCTCAATAAAATAATCCATTTGCTTCAAAGCCACATCTTCTCGGTTTTCTGCCCACAAATGTCGTAAGTAGCTAAAAGCAACACGAGGGTCTTGCGCGGCACTATCTGCTAGACTGAGCAGGCCATTGGCAAAACCCTGACTGGCTCCAGCATTCCCTCCAAGATTGATTGGAATTGGTGCGTATGGATCTCTCTCTATACTACGGATGAATGGTTTTGCTCCAACACGCCAGAGTGCGCTAGCAGCAAGATTCAAATGTCCCGACTTGAGACACAAGCGTGCATACTTTAACCAGATATCCACGTCTTCCCTTGGATCGAACACAAGCGATCGCACCAACATCAGACTTTGCCAAACTTGAATGTTACGTTCTACTCCTAGCATACGCCGTGTCCAGATCGTCTGCAACTTTTTCAACGCCACTTGCTTTTCATGCCCGTATGAAGTAAAGGATGAAGATGACACAAAGTTTAAGCTGCTAATACTTTGCTTGCGGCGTGATAGCGATGTAAAGGTAGGAGTTGATGACGTGGGAATTGACAAAAGCGTAAGCTCCCCATTGTTATTATGAGCAAAAGTTTTCAGATAGGCCACGATTTCTTCCAGCTCCGTAAGCATCTGCAAATTTACAACTACCGGAATATACGCTCGAGCATAACTTTCGCTGACAAGAGAGCGTAGCGTCGGATCCATCTCCTTACGACAGTTAGTAATCGAGCTCATAGCCTCATCCAATTCCATTCGCCGAATCGACACAACTGCTTTGAAGAGATGCGATTCAGTAGCATCCATATCTGAATTTATGTATTTTGAAATGGAGTCCCAATTTTGAAGTGAAAAGGCTACACGTGCTCCACTGCTGCACAACTCTCTCTTGAGAGCCGGAGGTACATCAAGCAGCTTTTCACCGTCAATTTGTTCACCATTTAAGTCCTGGCCATCACCATAAATTTTGGCCCAAGTTTCCTTCACGTGGTCGTTCAGTTTATGCCACTCGCCGATCGCCCAAAGGCAACGCATTTTACCAAAGATGGCTTCGACATTATTCGGATTGTCTTGGAGGACACGATCATGCGTCGCAAGTGCATCGTCCCATCGCATAAGCTTTTCATGCCACGACGCTTTCACTTCAATACCTGGCAGTTTTTCTAGCGCATACTTAAGAATACCACGCGCAGCTTCTGGCTGATTTAACTTCGAATTGATGCTAATTAGAGCTTGGATCCCATCCGTGCTCGGATTCGTGTTAAATTCAAGCTCCTTATAGTGGAGCGCTTTTGCAAATGAATGACACTTTTCAGCTAAAGATCCAAGTAGCCGAATATCAATCGGAAGCGGTTGGTCGTCGTGCTCCATGAATTCTGCAAGATTTAGTAGAGTTTGCAGAATTTCAGATGGCAAATTTGGTGACTGAAATGCTGATTCGAGTGATCGAATCAAGTTGTCTTGTGTCAATGACGATAGATGGGGCCAAACACTCACGAACGAAGCGTTAAATAGCTCTCGCGCTAAAGGTTGATACACCGATGCCAGCTCCTTGCACGCTCGTAGGACAGGCGAAGGAGATTCGCGAAGTAATTCAACGGAAAATGCAAGAATCCATTCGTTCCAATCTTCCTTTGTACTACGCTGCGATGCCTCCCACGCCTTGACTAAATTCTTTTGGTCGCATGGCAAGCTCTTTGTCTCATCTTGCGCAGATGCACTTGAGTCTTTGCGGTTCCTGGACGTGTCAGCGCGCAATTTCAACGGATCAGTCGCCCACGAAGCTACGGGAAGGGGCTGGTACTTCAAAATCTTTGACACCAGCAAATCATATCGATCGAAAATATCATTGGAACGCGAAGTGTGACGGCCTAGAACTTGACTGATCACAGGAACAAAAATTGCATAATCATCCCCCATCGTGTAAACCATGCAGCAAAGGCAATCCATTGCAAGATATACCATATCTGGCTGAGATGAAATAACACGTGCAAGCATATGAATAATTTTTGAAGCATAAACACTAACATTGAGTTTCTTCACAAGCGAGCCGAGTGAACCTAGGCCTTGTTTTCTCGCATTTATATCAGCATCACTTTGAATAAGCGCCACGAGAGTTGGAATCGTCAAGTGTAGATACCCATCAAGTAATCGTCCTAGGGAAACGGCTGTCTTTAACACCAACAGCGTTCGAGGTCGAGCATGATCGTCACGCTCTGTTCGAATTACTCGCAGCATCTGTGGGATGAGGTCCGGAAGATAAACACGAAAGTTTTCACCTAGTGAATTCGCTAATTTCTTGACCAAATTAAGAACTTCCTCAAGATGATCGTCCCAATAACTGTTCACGATAGATAGCAAGGCCACGTGGTCCAAATGTGGTTGAATTTGTTCCTCGACAATTTGCACCAGATCGCAAAGCTGCTCAAATAAAAACTTGCGTAAAGAGCGATTAACCTTTTCTAATGCGTAAAGAAAAGCTGGAACAATCTTGCCTAGATGCTGTCTCATGCGCTTTCGTTGGCTTTTACAAATGTACATGATCGCCATAAACGTACCCTGATAGTGTACGGAATTCCGCGGCTCAAGCAAGATGCGAATCAATGCATTTATCGCGACCGTTGGAAAGTATTGAGAAGAGTCCGAAATCATTGATGGTAGCAAATCATCGGGTGGGACCTCCAGAATAATGTTGGTAAGTTTTCCGCTCGTCTGTTTATCGCTATTCGCAATTTTGCGCGCTGGTGTAAGCAAAAGTGATCGTTCAAGCTGTTCAGCATCTTCGTCACAGCTACCGTCAAGAGCTCCAAGTCTACCACTTTCGATACCAATTCGAATACCAACAGCCGTCGCATTTGGATCACGTTTTAATGCGCTAGCTGCTAACGCTTCCGAAGGTTGTACTGCCATAAAACCGAATATTCCACCTGTACCGATCGCAAAAGCATTGGATCGAAAACCTTTCTTCTTGGCATCTGTAAGTTTACCTTGCTTTTGTAAATGAAATAGATGAAGATTGTACGGATCCAACGCTCCCAATACGCCAAGCGTACGCCCCGCTTCAACTCGTAAGGACTCAAAAGCATCACCAGATTTCTGCAAGGCTTGGCATAGTAAGTCTAGCAATTCGGGATACTCGTGATACGGCAAAACCACATATCCAGTTGATGAAACGAGTTGGCCGAGAGTTTTGATAGCAACTTGCAAAATCTGAGGATTGCTAGAATCACGCATTTCATCAATCACATCTGGTAACAACTGGCCAAGATATGGTGTCAGCTCTTGGGCTCCAACTTCCGCCAAGTCACCCAAAGTTGCCAAAATAGCTTTACTGACGCTTATCGTACTTCGGCTTTGACTACGGCGCTTAGAGTCTTCACGCAAATTTTTAATCAAGACACGTAGGATGGGGAGCACATAGGGTTGAGCAAGCTGGGAAGCTGAACGCAGTAAACACCCGATCAAAAGAGCACCCTCTTCCTTGCCCCGAGAGTCTCCACTAAATTCCAGCTCAGCCAACAGTTGCACCAAAGTTTGTCGTAGTGATGGCAGCACAGTAGACGGATTGTGATGTGTCAGGCGTCCAAGCGTACTCATGGCCGTTTGGCGAATGCTGAAGACCTCATCGTTCAGTGCAATAAACAGACACCGCAAATTATCGTTCAACGCAAGAAGAGGATCAAAACGTGAATCTAGCGAAGCCAACACGCGCAGTCGAATACTCGCTTCAGTATCAGCGATACCAACCGTTAGCAATCGTTCGAGCACTGATGTGATAGGGCGCGCGAAATCTTCCGACGTCATGGCTGTGCCTCCACCTCGATCTTGACCTGGTGGCAGCAGCAATTTGCAGCAAGTGAGCGCTGCACTTTTTCGGATTGTTGCAACTTCATGGTCAAGAAATTTTACCACTGTTTCGTGGACAAATGACATAATTGGAATAAGTCGGTTGCCTTGAAAATCAAAGTTTGCCAGCGTCTCTAATGCAAGCGCCTGCATTGCAATAGCCGAAGAAACTTCTGTTGACGAGGCATTGTTTTCTGATGTTCCATTTGCTTTTGCTCCAGTGGCAGAGTAAAACAAGTTCGATAGCATCCCACCCGTCACTGAAATGGATGTTGTCTTGAGTCTTCGACTTGTGGGAGTCGTAACAGATCCTACCGAATCATTGTGTCGGGAGCGCAGTATAGAGCTTAATCGCTCGAACAATTTTTGTTGAATGATGGGCTTCATTGCGGGAATCTTCTTTACAATTGTCGTCAAAGTCTCGACAAGCGATGAGTCAAGATCGTTTTGAAAAAGCGGTCCCACCATAGACTCTAGATCGACTCGAATAAGCGCAGGGCCCACTGTTTCCGCCAGCATTCGTAGACATGCAAGTGCTTCCCGATGAGTGTCAAAATCTTTCTTTCGGACTTGCAATCCGCCTTTAATTCCATTCATGATGGCCATCAAAGCCTGTTCATCTCTCGCCAGTAGCGGACCAATTGCCAAAGAAAGTTTTCCAATCGATAATAATGCGTCTGGACGTGTTGTTGTAGTAGCTGAGAAAAGAACTTCGAGCAGATGATTCATACAAGGTCGATAGCACTTTTCCACGAACACTGATGTATTAAATTTAGCCAGACGTGGAAAAAGACTTATAACAGCAGATCGAACGGTAGCGCTTTTGTGATCTTGATGACTGAAAACCAGACGACAAGCACGAGAATAATGTGAATGCATAAAATCTCCTGTATTGCGTAGCAACTCGTTCAGAATGAGTAGTGCTCCGTGTGTAGAATCCGAACTGCTGCGTTTAAAAGCGCTTTCGGCTTCATCTAGTGCACGATTGTACCATGACGCCTTACGATTAGATTCGCGCTGCTGAATAAGCATAAAACACGACTGTAATGACTCACTCGCGCTGACTCTAACCACAAGTTTCGAGTCCCAAAATGCACTCCATATAAAGTCAAAGTACTTTTCCATGTATCTAAATGACGTAGATGGCGCATTGATCGACAACTCTTTGAGAATCATGACGGCAGCGTGGCGACGTACATGAAATGTCTCGTTTTTCAGCCACTCAAGTGCTGGCTTAACATGGTAGTCTTCCACAAATTCGATGAGACTCGTACCGCCCGTGGAAACAATATGACCAAGAGCTTTGGCAGCCACACGAAGCATGGGTGGATCGGCACTAGGGATCTTCTCAAACACTTTGGTGAGCGAGTGCGCAAACTCGATGATCGTCTGATCGTTTCGCTCGGCAATGAACAACTCCACGAGCTCGTCCATGGCAGCAATGCCACCCATGCGATCTGCATTTTCATTGGAGTTGCAAAGCAGCATGAGCCGTGCACTGATATCGGTGACCCACTTCATATAGAGCCCATGGGACAGATCGCGTGATTCCGATTCGATATACAGACGCAAGCTCTGCGCTGCACGATGCCGCACGCTGCTGCTGCTACTTCGCAGCCCCGGCAGATAGCGCGTTAAGCTTTCGGCCATGGCTGTAAGGCCTGCCTTTCCTTTATCCTTTAAGTACCTCTGTCACGTTTGAACACGGGTTCCGGTCTATGATGATTAGAGGGGAGCACAAATTAATGTATACCTTTACAAATATTTAGTCATAGAATGTATATTACTAATTTTGTTACAAGGCCTTTGTGCGAGGTGTTTGCTGATACTTCATCTCGCGCTCGTAAGCAGCTTGTTTCATACTGCAGTTAGCGCTAAAATGGCCATTTTGTCCGCAGTAACGACACGGCTGTGGACAGTCTTTTGAGTGATGATCGTCTCCTTTGCAATTGTAGCACCGACGGTGGCGCTTGCTTTGCGCTGTTAACGGTGGCTGTTCGCCTGCCTGTATTGCAGCGGAACGTGCGTTCCATGTCTGCAGCCTGTTCTCGAATTTACGTCTTTTACCCTTCTCCTTTTGACTACACATCATGCGCCGACGCTCCTTCTCAGCGGCGTCCATTGGCGGCTTTCGCTCTGAGTTTGCATCGTCCTCAAAATGTTCGCTGATATGAGTAAATTGCAGATTGAAAAAGAAGAGTAGATCCGACAAGTGTGAGTTTTCTGCACGGTCCGTCAACTCGATACCTGCATTCTTCGCAGCAACAGCGTACTCTTCAAGCATCAATTGTATAGCTGCATCCAACACGCAAATCACACTTTGTTTCGTTATATGTCAGCTTTATTTGCAATGTACACCACATTCTTTCAAACCTTCAATCGTGGATACACATCCTGCTCCAGCCTTGTGATAACGCCAAAAGTTGCTTTCTTTCGGTGGCCTGGCTAGCTTTACGTGACGCAAAGTGGCAATGGCCGGATTGTTCAAAATCACGGGAGCTTTCTGCCAGGGGCAATCGATAAAGACAAGAGTACAGATGTCTCGAAGTTTTTCGGCGCTAAATTGCTCTAGCGTTTGAGCCTCGAAGGATGGATACACCACCAAAGTGCTCTCGCGCGTATAAACTGGTAGATCATTGGCATCATCTCTGGGAGGATAAGGAATAATATGTACGTCCTTTGGGGCTAGCACCTTGGCATGTGGCGCCGTGCTCTTTTTGATCTTGTCTTGAAACCACACGTGCACCTGCAAAGGCAGTCTCACTGTCGGTACCTTTACGTTTTTTGGAACACCAAGTGCAATGTTGCACTCAGGACAGTAAAATTTGTAGCTTCGGTGACACGACGTACAAGGTATACGCAGCCAAGCCCTCGGGTGCTGCTCTTGCCGCACATCTATCCTCTTGGCGTTCATTTTCAATGATTATCGTAACTAATGAAGAGCCTAGATGTATCTAAATATCTATTTTACTGGCTTAAATTCTGAGCTCTCACCAAACCACTCTCGCATTCCTCTCATGTGGTCGACGATAATTATGCGCTTCCCTGCTCAGGCAAAGTTTTTGTCGCGCGGTGCACTTGTGTCTGCTGGGATGGCTGCACTTGCAAGCTTATCTGTAGCATCGTCTTCTACACAATGCGAGGAGTTGAAGGAGCCGAAAGTGGCACTGAGTCCAAAAGAATACCGCTCCTTCACCGTGCGCAAGGTGGAGACGGTGAACCATAACACCAAGCGCATAACTTTTGCCCTGCCCTCGCCCGATCACGAAATGGGCCTCACAACTCCCAGCTGCCTCATGGCACGTGCTAGAGTGGACGGGAAGATGGTGGCAAGACCCTACACGCCTACAAATGTGAACACGGAGAAAGGCTTTTTGGAACTTGTAGTCAAGGGTTACCCAATGGGCAAGATGAGCAAGCATATCGTGAATCTTGAGGTTGGTGATTCACTTAGCATGAAAGGTCCTTTTTTGAAATTTAATTACTACGCTAACAAGTATAAAAGTATTGGTATGATCGCTGGCGGCTCTGGAATTACTCCAATGCTACAACTTATTAAGACCATTTGCCGCAACCCAGAAGACCACACTGAAATTACCTTGATTTACTGTAGCGTCTCGGAGAAAGACATTATTTTGCGTGAAGAAGTGGAGGCCATGATGTACCTATACCCGCAAGTGTCCGTGATTCACGTGCTTAGCAATCCGTCTGCAGAGTGGGAAGGCCTGTCAGGTTTTGTCTCCAAGGAAATGATCGAGAAGTACATGCCGGAGCCGTCGGATAACAACCTAGTGTGCGTCTGCGGCCCACCACCAATGATGTACCACGTGTCAGGTGATAAGGACGAGGACAAAACTCAGGGCGAGCTACAGGGTCTGCTCAAGGAACTTAAATACACCTCCTCGCAAGTTTTCAAGTTTTAGACCATTTGGTGGCCGCAGTTTGACTTCTTGTTCTGTTACTTGCGCTGTGATCAATACACTTCTAACCAAGGCAATTCTATCAATACAGTATTCAACATTTAAGCAGTGCTGTTTAGAAATGAATGCAGCTTTTTCCCATTAACATTACCCAGCAGCTCCGTGAGCTCATCAAATGACAGGCGACCGAGCTCAGCGAGATTGCTGACGCTTGCTATTACCTTTCGAAAATTGTGCTCGTTAATTCCTGGTAACTTTTTCAGCACATCAATTGCACTCGTATTGTAGTACTTTGATGCAAGCCCTCCATCACCGCTATTGGTTTGAGCAGCATCGTTGTCCATCGGCAAGCCGTTGCCTAGTGCAGCTGCAGCTTCAATGTCAGGTTCCTCTTGATATCTTTTGATAATTTTAAAGAGGTTCACTGTTGCATGGGGTGAGCGAGACCAGAGAATCCGCAAGGACGGGAAGTGTAAAATCAGCAGTGTAAGCTTAGAAATGATGTTGGAAGCATTGATGTCAGCACCAAGCTCGGACACATCCTGAAGTGAAAAAGACTTGCCTTGACTAAACTCGATTAGAAGCACGGGTGTTTTATAAAAGCGTCGCATACTTTCTGCCTGGTTGAACAAGCGCCCTGAGTTTAAGGAGCCAAAGAGATCGCTTATGCTTTTGCGCTCGACACAAATTTCTGGGGACAGAATATAATCCCCAATCTCAAGTGTCACTGGAAGCACAAAGAGGCCTTCCTTGTGAAGCATAGATGGTAATGCACTACGGAACTCACGAACATCCACAACAACCTTGATACCAGCCCGATGAGACCTGGCTCGACCACCAGTTCGAGTATCCATACTGTATTCTACATTTTGTTGTCGCAACTTCATGTGTAGTGGCAAGTCGTATACATTCGTAGGCATCATCAAATGCGCTTTCTGGTGTATAAGTTTGTCAAAAGCGCGTTTTTCACGTTGAATCTCGCTCAAATACGACTGCTGCTCTGTACTCTCATCGTACATTACAAAATAAACTTCAAGTGGGTCAGTGTGTGATGCATGAAAGACCTCCACTTCACGAATGAATGCCATATCGGGATCGTAAAGGATAATATAAGAAGGCATCATATCTTCAAGAAAAGCAGAGGCGCCATACCCGTGATTTGCAGCTTGATCATAGGTGCACAACACGACGGTATCGGAGTGATCCACTACCTCAAGCAGTAGGTTTGGCGTGCCTACTTGTCGCATATCGCGACCTGATGCAGTACGCAGTGGCCAATTTTTAGACATTTTTGACTTGCACTCTTTCTCGACTATTTCTTCATTTGTGGATATGGCCTCTAGTTCAGTCGTCGATAAGCCAAAACTTGAGACCTCTGTGGAATGAATATGAACGTTACTGTAGTTTAATGAGGAAGACTCCTCTCGTTCACGCTTCTTCACTTTAATAGGCTTTTGCGAGTTCTTTGCACTTGAACCAGATGACGTCTCGTTTTTAGTATACAATTCATCGACTCGTAAATTCGCTGCAGCCTGTAACAAAAGCCGCTGCTCTAATCCTGTTGCCAAAAGACCTTCTTTTTGCTTCAGTGTGGTTTCTTTTTGCAGCAAATAGTGACTAAATCGCCGCCGCATCATTTCCTGAGCCCCTAAGCTCAAAAATTCACGTAATTGCGCGCAAGTGCGCTCATCCTTGACCATAATGAGAACACTTGCCCCTCCAGCAGCCCCTTGACCGAAATTCTGTTTTCGCATTGTTTGTTGCTTCTCATGCACTTCATCGAGAATCTCATGAAGCGCGTCCCATTTCGGATTATGTTCCAGCACAAGCTTTAGTTCAGCATTATCAACAGATTCGGAACCTGATTTGTTAGAACACGTGAGTCGACGAGGATTGACAACTTTTTTGGTCTTGTAATCAACAATTTGGTACAACCGTTCTTTGGCTGCAGTCAGCAGCCGATCTGCTGCATCCGTGAACAACCACGGCGATGGAAAGCGCTGCTGGCTATTCATTGTTTGATAGCTCATCAGGAATGAGAAATACGAAATGGCGTCATATCGTGGAAGATACGCCAGTAGTTGACGTAACGTCGATAGGTCTCCGACAAGTTGCTTTGTTTTAAAAGGAAGTTTATGCCACAACGGATCTAACTGTCTTCGAATGAAGTTACTAAAGGACTTAGCTAAAGCCTTATCCATCGTAAGGTCTGCAGCATCTAGCGACTTGGTACTGCGCTGCAACTCCTTGATTGTAGCTTCCAATGCTACAAGCAATGCTTCCTGCATGACCTTCATAGACGGTGAGAGAGAGACTTCAATCTCGTACACTTCTGGCTGATGCTTCATTAAGCAAGAATTCACGGCCAAGTGAAATCTAGGATACAAATATACATTCCGGACATACAGATGCTTGAGCACCTGCTCCACACGATTGAATCCTGATGAGAGCGCGACGCTGTCATCGCAAAACGCTTTGATAAAGCCTTCTCGATTGCGCTCACGGTATAGTCGAATAATAAAAGCCTCAATTGATGTCTCCGTCACGTGGTGTGCGTGGTTGACTAGAATTCCGCTGATGCTACTCGGGTCAAGGTGGTTAGACAAAAAATCCACAACAAGAATTCGCGTTGTCACAAAAAAAACTCCGCCTCGCTTGTACATTTGCTGGCGCTCGTTCAAATTATTTCGAGCGTCCACTACACGGGGCAAAAGACGACGATCAAGTCCAAGTGAAAGCACTAGACGTCGCATTGTCACCGCTTGTTCGTTAACGTTCAGACACAGCACGAGACTACGGGGTGAGCAATAGAGACGCACAAAGCTTGCCAGTACACGCAATAGACCAAGCCCGCGACCTAGCACCAGCACTCCATCCTGTTCATATAGTTCTTCTACGATATCTCGTTCGTATGGCAACCAGCGCACTGCTAGCGACGACATCACACCACTAAACTCGTCATCGCTGGCAAGATCGACCACTTCCACCATACTACAACACTCAGAGGATAAAGAGGAAATATTAAGTAACGCTTAAGTGTTGAAGTAAGAATTATATTTGATAACGCATGTTTTGGCAACCCAACAGCAATCTGCATCGGTCGCTGACGCATAGTGTTCCGTACGGTAAATAAATACACGATCGCATGAGTGTATCAAGTTGACTCTTCAAGACATTAAACTCAGATGTACAGATGGGATAAAGTGGCAAGCGTTGCTCGTGAAGACCAGGAATTACGTTTGTCTTCATGTTTACCAATGTGGCAATTCTGTTGAAGAAAAGATCATTCTATAAAAGCATCAGCATGTGCTCCTAATCTTTCATCTCGTTCTATACGATTCTTATCTGCTTTTGGAGTTAAACGACCATAACTCTCGAGGGCCTGATAGTCACCACCCACCTCAACCCACGTCGTACTGGATGATTTAATTGCCAAGACATATTGTTCATTTAGTCTGCAGCAGCTGTGTACCCTTGCGTAGTCGTCGCGACAATGCTTAGAAGCACATAATTTATCAAATTGTGCAATCAAATTATCGATAAGGCCGGTCAAGCTTGATATGAGACCGTCGCTTAAGAAGCGGTTTTCCAAATCTTTCATTATTATTTCGCTAATCATGTCGATACGATAATCGAGCTGACACACGATAGTAACGACAATACATAGCTTACACGCCGGTACCGTTTGTGCGGTTGTGAACATTCACAACATAGTCGTTTCGTGCCTTTGTCGGACTGCCATTGTCGTTTCCCTGGTCAGTGAGTGATTCGCTATTCGTGTAAGTGACGTCTCTTTCATTCAAATGGTCCTGTCATCAAATATAAACATAACACATCACATTGTGAAGCTTATGCATTAATCTTTATACGTACTTTACAACACGCAGCGTGGTATTCTTGTAATGGGACACCTGCATGCCGAGTGTGAAAGATAGAAGCATAGTTGTAGCTGTATGATACGCAAGCAGATACAGCACCAATGATGCTACCCGCCAAGATGTCAGCGTAATGATGCCAGTTATCGATCGTTCGAGTGACAGCCACCCAAGCTGCCAAGAAGGTTGGAATGAAACAGAGAAATAACTTCAGCGATTTTCGTCCGCCCCGCATGATGGTCTCATTTCTATTTTCGCAGTTTAATGAAGACCGACCGAGCAAATAAAGCTGTTCGCGCAAATCAAAACATCAATGAGAGAGTCTAATGACGTACTAGTGGGTAGTATAGATTTGTACCGTTAGGACAAGCATCGTCGCGAATGCAAATGACGCGTGCCCCGATGGGAAGCTCTTGCGGCCTTCTTTTTCACCCGAGACATTTCGGCATAGATTAGTGACTCCATCCCAAACTTCGTCATAGTTCCAGTCGCACATGTCGTAGAAGCATGGACGAAAGCGTCCTGTCATGTTCTTCGTAAATTGCGTCAATAGTGTAGCCATGCTAGTGGATTGCAACAGCGTCAAGAAAAAGTCGCGCGTATCGTAAGGAATAATGCGCACGCGGCGAAACTTGGGTAACACGTAATTAATAAACAGATTGGTGATAATGGGGGCTCCGACGCCGACGCTGATAAGAGAAAACATAGAAACTTGTTGCGCCTTCTCCCTGCTATTAATCGTCGGATCCCGAGCCCAAATCGAAGTTGTTGAGCTCAGTTGAACCTCGATATTTGGAATCTCGCCTACATAATATTATAACCTTTATTACGCACTTCACACAAAATGACAGATTGACAGATTACTGAAGCAAACGTACGTTGAGCCACCTGAATCTTGGCGAAGAAGAGAGCAAATCCGTACATGATCACCGAGATTGCAAACTCAATAAAGCGACAATCACGAGTATAGCGTTTCCATTTGACACCGCCATCTTTGTAATCGTGCCCTGCCACGGTAGGTAAACCGGCCACGGATGTATTGGTCTCCATAAATGGCTCGTCACTCGGGTTGCTTGAAGCAGCCCGAAAACACCAGCGCACGACCGTGATCACTGCGACGATGCTACACACGAAAAATCGGTGAAGCGGTTTTCTTGCGAATGGTTTGCCTCAAATAAGGGCAATTTTGGGCAAGACTCGCTGATGATATGTGACTGACTCGAAAAAAGTTTGTCGGACTTTATCTGCCAGGATACTAGGACTTTAAAACAATTATTGTTGCGAGTGTTGTTCAGACAAGATATAATCTAAAGTACTAAAACCCGAAATCAATTTTACACAACTGCTCATGTGTTATCTTTTGCAGCCAGTTTCTTGATGCTTCTTTTCTAATGAATCGTTATAAAGTTTTATGCTTATGTAAAATCATCCGCCAATGGACTTTCAGGCGGCGGCTTGTCTACTGCTGCTCGTGCAGAGCTTGAGATAATCCCTTCATGCCTATGTATCAGGGCACCTCGCAACACAAAAATCGAGCTTTGTGAAAGTAGGCTTCATGGGATTCATAGCTATTTAACGCCCCTGTACTCTATACAAATCGTCAAGTGCAACAAGAAAGGCGTAATGTGACATCGAACTGTCTGCGCATGGCCCACACATTCTGTAAAAGTTATTGCAATCATACTGTACTATTCTGAAAATTGTTATCAAATGATTAAATAAATTGCCATTGATTTTTGACAAAAAGCGGATTGTGCTAGCGGTTGTAAATTGTCAGAACCTGATACGCCTACGATCATTATCTTGTTTCTCGCGAGTAAATTTCGCACAAGCCCGACGTCTACCAGCAAGCTGTCTGAATTGTCGTTGGAGGCTATGCAATTTGACATAAGATGAATTGCTCTTCGATTGAATTGCGACGCTTCCAATGTATACTTGAGCTTTGCGGACGGAGACACCATAAATATTACATGTGAGCATTATTTCGAACAACACCATTTTGTAATGAGCTACACTTAGCTATAACATGAAGGTACCTTCTGTCCACTCAGCGTGCATTTTCGGAGTTTATGATAAGGGATTACAATTTCGTGTCCCCACAAGCATAAATGACACCTTCTATAACGTCACAAACATTCTGTGTGATGCAGAATACTGGTTTCTACATGGTACTTTATACCGGTTACGAGACCGACATGTCTTAGTCGTTTGAAGTTGGAGGCGTAAGCAAGTCACCTCTGCTGAACTTTCCACGAGAATTCAAGCTCAAGCACTTCGAACAGCTTCCGAAAATCGAGATCTTGTAAAGCGAAGGCGGTGCTTAGTTGTCAAGCCAATCAGAAGACGTGAAGAAGCCTTAGAGGCTCGAGAATCATCAATGTGCTAATAAAGGAGGAACAACAGCTACCGGCAGAGGATTCGCTGGAGTACGTGCTGAAGGAAAAAGATACGGTCGCCGCATAGTTGAGGAAAATTTACGAGCTGGTGGTGGTTTCGGCACGTGTTGCGGTGGTCAGCACATAGATGCCGATGGATTTGTCTATAGTGGATCCATACAATTGAAAATGTGGAAGCTAGCTGTCAAAATTTCCCCAGGATTTGAATGTTCAGGAACAGCAGTGGTTGTAGATAAAACGTCGACGCACTCGAATCCGTGGAACCGAGATCATGTATAACTCCAAGCTGAGGCCCAAATAACCTTGACTGTATAAATTAGATTTATACCCAGAGGGTTATATTACAACCTCTAGGAGCCCCTGGTTTTTTCTGCATTTAGCTCTAGGAACCATCAACTAATTAAAATTCAATTGCAAGTTTGCCATCAAACAACAAAGTTTTATTCTTCCCACCAAGCCAAGACTGTCCATTTTCCTCCACGTCGGGATACGCTTCTGGTTGCACTAATATGTGTGTTGTGTTTGAGGGACCGCTGTGAGCAGCAACCTCTAACACATTGGAAAAACTGCCAAACTTTGTCGAAAGCCTGAGGAGCCTGAGCTTACCCTGAAATCAACGCAAACCAATAAAGAGAAGGTACTTGGGCTCTGGTTGGTAAAATATATAATGGATCGTTAGTTCGCAAATTTACTTACTAAGTCTAAGCTTGTAAATCCACCCAGAATGCTCTTATTAAACCTCCATGATCCAATACACTGGATCTTAAATCACATATCGATCAGGGAGTGCCTTGTCTGAATTCTAGTTTGTTTGCTACCCCTAAGCATACTGAACCTTGCAAAATGTTCCTAATTAATTCTTACGACCAACCGCACTGTATTCCTTAATTACTAACTAATAATCGACCACGTCGGCGCCCATCTTACTATTGAAATTTTATCTTGCCTGCGTAACTTCGGGGGGGGGTAAGGAAGCATGCGGAAGTCATGCACAAAAGCCTGTCCATATCGGTATCTACTGGTTAGCGGATGCTGGTCAAGACACTTCCTCAACAGCACTCCCATTCGGCTCGACGGTTTCTTTCACACGAAAGAAACCGATTTTGATGAAGTCAAGAGCTGCGTTGATAAAACGGGCTTTGTCAAGAAGTCTGCGAGCGAATCCATCCATAGCTGAGACAACCTTGAGCGTGACATGACCATCTTCGATTTTCTCCCAAACGAAGTGGTAGCGAGTATCGATATGCTTGGTGCACATTTGAATCTCTTATTTCTTGGTCAACGCGATAGTGCCCTGATTACCATCAAGATTCTTGACAGCTTCATCTTGATTCATCTCATAAGAGCGAGAGCATCTTGCGTAGTTTTGATAGCGCCACGTGCCCAGCTTCTGTAGAGCCATGATTTTCGGTCCTTGCTTTTTCAGCCGAAACATCCGCCGTTCATAATTACTTTTGACGCAATGTCGTCTACACGGTTGGCATCTGGGTAGCCTTGAAGTCTAAAATTGTCCGCCGCTTGAAATTCAATGCAAAACGTTTTTGTGCCTTGGACTCGTTCGAGCGCTTGCCAGTGTGTTGAACATGGGTCTACCCGGAACTAACTTGAATCCGCTAATACTGCAAGATCCGGATGTGTGTTTACCATTAGATACATGAGACAGCCCGCAGTGATTCGATAAGACATTCTCATCATGCTTGCAGCCTTCTTCAAACATGATATTCGCCAGCTTCAGATCCCGATCTTGCGGCATCTTGACGGGATCGTGTTTTCTATCATGAAGTTTTCCTGAATGCCGAAAAATTGTTTTAACGCATAGTCACTGTCCCTATTGTCACGTCCTGCCCAATTTCGGTCGAAAGAAAATACATAATTGTCCGATTATTGAGAGCTCATTTGATCTCTCAAAGCATTTTAAGCATCCTGATGGATTCAGTGTGCGAAAAAATCTCTGCTTTCACCCCAATGTTTGATGTAGACGCTGTGATGTGACTCACACTTCCTGATGTCCAGTCCGATTTGTTTTCTTTCCAAATACGAGGGATTGCTTCGAACCGTATAGCGACTTTTATAACTTGAAAACAAAAATTGAATTTTTCTAACGTAGAATCCTTCCGGCTGTGTCATGTGAATGTCTTTTTCAAGCCATCCGTTCAAAAAGACTTTTCTGCATCCAAACCCAGAATAATATGGATTAAATTAAACTTGGACACGTTGCAAACGTTTGATCATATTTGATAACATAAGTATGAGGACCACAAGAAGCGGCTAATATCGATCAATCGTACCATCTTGATTTTTCTTGACGTGAAGTACCCATCTGTCGCCTTTTGCCTTGCGAGCTATCGATAGTGACACAAGTGTTGATATCAGAGTTCAGCGGAGTCTTTCGATCTCGAAATGGCGCGCTTTTTGCAAAATTCATTGTCGATTTGATGATCTCGGCATTTTCCTGCTGAATCTAGGTCGCATGCATCTTCAAAATCGTGAGCAGCGGTGGACATCTCGTCAAGGTCTTGATACCGACTCTGACGCCTAACTTGGGAGGTTTCCATCACTTTCAAATAGCTTCGTACGCTGTTGTCGCTTGTCACGATTCATTTTAAAGTCAAACTCAGGTTAATCTCAGTTCCATCAAGTCTTTTGCCTCATCGTGATCTGGAACAGTGACTTCACTGTTGATGTAACTTCGAATCTTATTGTCGAAAGTATCTCCCGTGAACCGCGCGTCATGACACACACATACACGACGGCCTATAGTTTTTTCTATTTAATACGTATTGCAGCGGGGTTGCCGTAGCTTTTTGCTTAGTGAAAATAAGCTAAGGTCACTGACCTTACGTTCTATGCTAGAACCAGTATAAGTGCAGCGGATCGCAATCCGCTACCTCCAAGGGTACCCAGAATCTTAATTCATGGTATATGCACTCTTCTGTTCAGAATCCAAAATGTATTTATATATATCATTTGCGTCAAAGCCGCCCAAATGTAAATATCTAGGTTCTCCTAATTAAACAGTAAAACCTAATTTATACTCATAACGACTGGTTACGGTGTAGCCACACCATTGTGTATTTACACCGTCTTGTGTAATCCACATCTTTGTTACATCTTTGTCGGTCACACATTATTGTGTGGCCCACCCTTTCACACCAGGGTTCGTTACACTCTCCCCTATCAAAATTGTGAATACCCACAATTGGCATTTATCTGTCGCCTCATACGAGACTCGCGTGTCTGAGACACCGACTATCTTTACACAATCCGCTCAATTACCCTGTGTTCATGACACGAAAAACACCCAGCCTCACTGGTTTCGAGGACGCCCGCGGACAGCCCTTCTTCGTCTCCTGCACTCGGTGCAACTTCGGACAGTACGTCCGGCTTCATGGGAAGCACACCCAAGCCCTCATCAACTGAGCGCAACACAGCGCTGCCCACCCCGGACGACGAATTTCGACGTAGAAGATTTTAATGAAGTCGACTACGAGTCGGACACTCCTTCCCCAGCATGGGATGGCGAGGAAAATGAAGTGCGCCAATGGCGCGACGTGAGACCAGCTCAATTCTGCGGGCACCATGTCCGTTCCTCGACGTCTCGGCTTCCGGTGAAAGTGGATTATTGCCAATCGTCGTGATGAGGCACAGGAGTAGCAATTAGGCGCTGCTCGCAGGACGGCTCTCTCGCGCTGGCGGATCCTGATACAAAAGACAAAAACGCGATCACTCGATCGTTAGCGGGCCCCAACCTGAGCTTGATCAGCGGAAAGCTGTGCTACCCCTCTTTTTGGTACCCCAAGAGATTCCAATGGATCGGTACCACGCTCGACTTCGAGCAAAAAAGAAGGTGCTCCTGTTTCCGCAACACGGACGATCCCTGTGGTGCTCGCCCCTGGCGAAACTGCTGCCGATGACGATGAGCTCTTTGAGCGATGAGTGCAGTGGCACCGGAAAGTTTCTTTGTTGTCTTCCTCACAGCAAAGCCACAAAGAAATGGACGTGCGCGTAGAACGCCATCTTCGATTTGGGTTTGCCAAACTCAAGGCGCAACGCCGACTTCCTGCGTTTTGTCGCCCTGCGACATATGGAATAATCCATCACACTCCCGCTAGCTCTGTGGTTTCTCACACGGGTGAGTCTCCGACCACAGCAGTTCAGGGCAATAGCTTGAGCTAATCTCATAGTCCTTCGGCTCCTCGGACTGCTGCCGAGAAGCGCGGAGCGTCATGATTCTTCTGATCACGACGTCTAAGCAGTCTTGTCGAAGTGGCAATTCAAACTCCCACGAGTTCTAGGGTTTGGGTATCCCAGCCACTTCACAAGCTAAGACGTCAACCCACAAGGCGTTCCACGTGATAGTGGACACCACCATCCTCATCGAGAGAGTCGGCGGCGGATGATGACGACTTGGTTGATCGCCGTCCGGTGACTTACGATGCTCTTCGAGCTTAGGAAGACAAAGTCCGTCGTCATCGGCCTTCGCTTCGCATACCACTGCGCGGAAGTCCTAGATAGCTTAGAACACTTTATGCTCCGACTGCCTCACGTTGAGGACTATCGCGCTCTGTCAGAGCGGCACTTAGCCGTCAAGCAGACAAATGCGTCGCATTGTACGACGATGGAGCAGCTGGTGCCGTTGGAAGCGAAAATTGTTGCACTCCGTGCTCAAAAATGTTTCTGGGGAGCTGGGCGCCGCTCCGGCGCCAACGCTTTCGCGCTCACTAGCGCCGGATCTCGGTATGGCTTAAGCAAGTCCACATAAAACACCGGGTGGGTGAGCATTCTTCTCGGAAGGTTTAGCGTATACGCAAGGCCTCGCTTGACCACGACCTCAATGGGTCTGATTGACCGTGGATGGAGCTTGGTCTTAAAGACAGTAGAGACTGCATGTGTGGGACGGTTTTAGCATTTCATAAACCAGGTATCCGACCTCAATGTTTTCAACATTTCCTCTATTTCTTTCGTCATTCCTTTCAGCATGTCTTGTTTTCAGCCATCGCAACGCGAACGAGTCGTAGGACACTCAGTATGGTATACAAAAGGTCATTCAATTTTTACGGACAGGTAGGGGGCTTACATCAGCTAGCCGTACGGCTATTTCTCCCCCGCGAAGCCCTGAGTCATGGGATGGCGGCGTCAGTGAAACGCGAGGATTAACAAGCCCGTTCACGTAGAACAGTGGGTTGCGTGCCACGCCACGTTCAGCCAATGTTCCACGCACAGGACCACTGTCTAATACACATTTGGTGTTCGACAACTTGGCTACTCCGATCTCAAGCACATTGACCGTCCCGGTCTAGTGCCAGTGCTTCTGCTTCCTTGCATAGCTGAGTTGATGACTCACCAAAGCTCCACCAGGAGACGTGCGCGTAGCGCCCAAGGTCTTCGACACTCTATTCATCCATGGCTTGAGGTGTTTCAGCCATGCCATACCGAGGATAGGGTCATGCTTTGCATCCAAGTTTAAGACTAAGCAGCATTCCAAGCTATCAAAGTCAAGAAACTTGACACCGAGGCCGACAGGGACCTTTGGCACCGTGACACGTGTACCCATCGCTGAGCGAACAGTGACGATGTCACTCAACCGCCTTCAACGCCTTAGCATACAGCTGATTTCCTTCGATTGTGAATTGATCAGGATGTTCCATGATTTCTCAAAGCCCTTCACGGTCACTTTTACGACCAGCAAGCCTGCCTTGCATACACATTCCATGTTCAAGAGCACGGATCTCTTCTGGGCTGGGCCCTGCTGACCTTTACCTCCTTGCGACTTAGCAGAACTCAGTCTCCCCCAGTAGGCCGGTGTTTTTGTTTCCCCGTGACAAACCAAAAGACCGGTAGGGAGCAAAACATCGATTCGACGAACTTTGGCGCGCCTTGCACAAGAGACAACCAGTCCAAAGGTGACGGGTGCTCCCACAGACAAAACTCCGTCGGGTGTTCGAACGCTGCTCGGCAGCTCGGAGCTATGCCTCTTTTCTCTCAGCATAGCTGACATCTATTGGCCCAGGCCCGCTCGATGAGCTCTGAACAAGCCGACTTAAAGTTGAATATGGCATTCAATGCCACATTCACTAATTCTCCAAAAGAAGACGGGTGACACGGATGACATCGGGTGCACACGGACGACTTCCATTCTGGCCACGCTAGTGCGGAGGCCCTTAATAAATTCAGTCTTTTGCCCGCCTCGGGAAGAGGTTTGGCTGCCATCGGCAATGAGTGTACGCATTTCTTGGACAAACTCCACAGATTTCTTCTTGCCCTGTCCGATCGCACGCGATATGCCTGGTTATGAGGTGAGAGTACACGTAAAAGCTGCAGCTTTAGCTCTGCCCAGGAGGAAAATGCCGCTTTAACCGAGGTGCTGCACATCAGTGCCCATTTTCTCGCTCGGTCTTCAACCTAGGAAATAGCTAGCGCTACGCGCTGTTGCTTGTCCTGGAGCATGCGGACGCCATGTCCATCTCAATCTCTTTTACCCAGAGCAGGAGATTCTTTCCATCCTTACCCTCGAAGGTCTTAACGCTCACCATAAGCGGCCAGAATCGGAAGGAGTCATCCGACGTCGAAGGTGGCGTCATGGACACAGTCGACGCCGACATCTACTGTTGTAGGTGCTCTGGTCGAGCACTTACATAGCTTGAAAACGCCTCTCGGCGCGCTTATCGCTCCAGCTCCTTGCGAAGCAAAATGTCGCACGATTTCAAGGGCCAAGCAGAGACTTCAGTTTTTGAGCTCATGCTGCATGCCCTAGGGAAACAAGGAGAATTAATCCATCATCGCAGAGGACCACTCAGATGTAGATTGACTACAAGTGCTACCGAGTGTAGCGGGGCTGCCGTAGCTCATTGTTTAGCGGAAGCTAAGCTATGAAAATCGGCCATACGTTCTATACTAGAACCAGCAGTAACCAAAACCTTAACTCAAGGCAAATGCACTCTTCTGTTCAAGATCCAAACTGTATTTATCAGTTTTATTTGCGCCAAAGCCGCCTAAATCTAAATCTCTAGGTATTTTAATTAAGCCGTAAAATCTACTTAATATGCATAACTACTGGCAGTTCTGCCACGTAATGGCTTCTAGTCACGGTGTGGCCTCACCATTATGTGAGATACCCTCTTGTGTAATTCACACCTTTGTACGGTCACATATTAAAGTGTGATCCACCCTTTCATACCAGGGTACGTGTAACTCCGTTACAAGTATTCTCAAGTGTATACTTTATTATTGTGACCACAAAGAGTTTTAACACGCTTGCTCAGTTGATTTTCGGCTAGTGCGACAAATTAAGCGAGCTTGTCGGCTACCTCGGACTTGCTTTTTGGCAGGTACACAGCACAAAAGTGCGACATTTCGTCAATAAACGTAAAACATTGCACTTTTCACTAAACGTTTGTGCCTACGTTAAGCCACACACGTCACTGTGAGCGACTACGAGTACTTGTATGTCGTGATGTGTTCGTTTCGCCTACACGGTTTTTTTGCTTTCCAAGTGCGCGACCATTACATAGCCCACACTGGCTTACTGATGTCAAGTTCATACCAATGACATACC